TGTTTTTTTTCCTTTTTGAACAAACATTTCTCTACAATAATAAATAATCTATAAAATAGAGTAAAATAAATGAATACTTACTTTTTTCTTCTAGAAATAGAAGAAACTATAGCAATTTCTATTTTACAAAAAAAAATCTGATGCTAATATAACTCTTGAAGCTTTATGGTTCGTAACAATTTTCACGGTCAAATTTTCTCCAATCAGTTTTTTACAGACTTTTATTTGTATCTTTTATTTGTATGAAATTATCACTGTAATTTTATTCATTTTTTTAGCAGTCGAGGCTAATCATGGTTTTGAGGAGACAAAATTAATTATTTCTTCTTTTTGTTTCTCTTAAAAATATAGGTACACATCTCTATTTTATATAAATTTTCTAGAATTTTTTTTTTAAAACATTATCAAAAAAATAGTCCATAAATGTTAAAATGATTTAAAATATTTTATTAAAGAGATAAATAAACACTGGAGAGGTAAATAAACACTTCAAATTTTTTTAATGGCGATTCAGCATTGTTGGAATTTGGGTTATAAACAGGTTATTATGGAGTCTGATTGGAAAGGAGTGATCATTATATTAAACAATAAGAAACTTCATTTTGCAGCATATAATTGGACGCGATAAATCAGATGGTGGTGCAACAAATTTGAAGACTCAAGTTTTAATGGGCAAGAAGAGAAGCTAACAAACTGGCAGATAAATTAGCTATACCTCGAATACATTATCAGAGAGTTTTGTATTTTATAATTATGTACCGCATATCATAACAAATCTTATATAATTAAGAAGATTATGTACTCTCTATTTGAATAAATGAAATAAGAAGTTGGAAAAATTACTATGTAAATAAAATATGACAAAACTACATAAAATTGTTAAATTGATTTATATTTTTCTTAAAAATGCTTTCTCTTAAATAAATTATTATTTACCATTAAAACAGATTAAATTTTGTTAATTATGTAATATTTTTATACAGAAATAAAGTTAGTAACATATGTTAGAGAGAAAAATCTATAGCTATATATTTCAAAAATCATATGAGATTCTCTATTTGATTGTTTTAAATTTTGAATTAATTGTATAGAACTCAAAAATGTAATAATAATTAAGAAAAATGCATAAAACAAACCGTTTGAGGGTTTTGAAGGCATGTTAGGGGAGAAATTATCGGAATTTGAAATTTTCATTTGTGCGATGGAATGTATAACAAAACTTCATCAGTTTTGTGCGACTTTTGCAACAAATTGTTATGAGTAAGTGAAAATGGTTTTAGTTGCAAAAGAGTGATCTACATTCGCAGATTATATTGAAGAAATTCAACGTCTACAATGAAGTTTCAGCTTTTTCGAGATCAAACACATATCCCAGATTCAAAGACCGTCTAGCATGAAGTGCTCACAAATATCACCCTTCGTGACTCAAAGGGACTATTTAGCATCGCATCAACCATCACGTTTTGTACATATGGATACAGAATTCCCGTTTTAGTCAGTAAAATCTTTTTGTTTTGTTGATGACGAAAAATAATCATTATATATTAATAAAATATTAAGAATAATTAATAAAATAATAAATGTATAAAATAAATCACAATATATTAATAGAGTAATGAGACACCTAAACAATAAAATTAAAAAGTGTCACAATATATAATAATAAATATAAATCATATTTTAAAAATATTTATGATAATACCATTTATAAAATGAAAAAATATTCGAAACATTCAGGTCAAATTCTACTGGAGAAACCCCCTCCCCCCCCCCTAATTTAGTCTTAGACTTCTTTTTTAGAACAAAAATTTAGTCTTAGACTAATTCTAATGTAATTTGATATTTTTCAGAAATAAAATAATCTTATGATAGAGATGGAATATATTCCAATGTGTTTTCTCCTTTTTGAACAAACATTTCCCTATAATAATAATCTATAAAATAGAGTAAAATAAATAAATATTACTTTTTCTTCTATAAATAGAAGAAAATATAGCAATTCCTATTTAAAAAAAAAACTGATTGATAATATAACTCTTGAATGTGTATGGTTCGTAACAGTTTTCACGGTCAATTTTTCTCAAATCAGTTTTTTACAGATTTTTATTTGTATGAAGTTATCACATTAATTTTATTCACTTATTTTCTAGCAGTTGGCTAATCATGGCTTTGAGGAGAAAAAATAGAATTATTTCTTCTTTTTGTTTTTCTCTTCAAAAAAACATCTCTATTTTTTTTTAAAAAAGTTCCTAAAACTACTTTACAAAAAGCATCATAAATACAATTCATAATTGTTAAACGGATTAAACTATTTTATTTAAAGAAATAAATAAACACTTATATATTAGAGAGGTAAATAAACACTTCAAGCTTCTTTAATGACGATTCAGCATTGCTGGAATTTGGGTTATAAACGGGTTATTATGGAGTCTGATTGCAAAGGAGTGATCCATATATTAAACAATAAGAAATTTCATTTTGGAGCATATAATTGGACTCGATAAATCAGATGGTGGTGCAACAAATTTGAAGACATCAAGTTTCAATGGGCAAGAAGAGAAGTTAACAAAATGGCAGATAAATTAGATACCTCAAATACATTATCAAAGAGTTTTGTATTTTGCATTTCTTAGTTGTTGGTACGAAAAAATTAATGACAAAGATAGTTGATTGGTCGATGTTCAAATGGCTGATCCTCTAAGATCCTGGTTATGCTAACAAAATGCTCCCAATATCATGCATATGAAATACAGAACAACCAGAGAGAGATAGAACCAGTAACTCTACTTGTCAATCCAACACCTAGTTTCAAGGCACATGTGTCCAGGTCTCCCATCAGTTGTTCTCCTTACTATACCTCGGCACTCTGGACCACCACGGGCCTTGAAACTCAGGTAGAAGACTGCATTGCCCGACTTGAGCTTCATATCTTCCTTTGTCTGTACCAAGACTTTCCTCATCTCAAATGGCATATAAGCACTCTGCAAAAACAAAACTACTTATTAAGTATGCTGTTTGGCCCAATCAATACTAAATAATAAGTTTATCCATACCAGGTCATCTTCCCAATGGGAGAACAATGCAAACTCAGCGTATAGATAAAGCCACTGGTTTTCCTTCAACTCCCAATCTCTCACCTGTGTCAGTAAAAAAAATGGTTTGTTGGTTTTAATAAAAAATGTAAAAAAAATCAGAGTTATACCTCATAGAATTGAAGCTTATCATCTCCGGAAAGTGCATCATCTTGTAGCCAATTAGGTAAGTCAACTTTGTAACAGGGATCTACATCATTATCAGGGTACCAAATGGAACCTAGTTCTCCCGTTCCTGCAACAATTCAAAGTCATTAATCTTATTAATCTCCATTACACAAGCTCAATTAAATTAGTTTACCAGGGACTTGAGGCTTGATTCTGCAAGTAGTTGTGAAGATTCTCAAACGTGCTTGATGCTTGAGCACAGTATCGGTGACAGTGGTCTGGAATGTAACAACTGAGTTGTCGTGGAAAGGATCAGTGGCCTCCAGTGTGATGTAAAACGTTAAAATTGAACAGATTTGTGAATTGACTTTGGTGACTTCCTTGAACTGCAAGTTAGTGCCCTACAAAAGAAAGAGCTGTCAAAAGAAACACATCCATGATAAGAGAGGAATTAAATAGTAACGTTGTTAGTACCTTTTCAAGGTTGTAACAATGGAGTCCGACCTTCCCGAAGAGTAAGCTGTGATCACTACATCCACCGGGAATTATCCCACCAAAAGGTTGAAAGAACAAGTCCACATCGAAACCCTAAATCCAAAACCAAACTCATCGTTAATAATGACCTAAGAGGGTTCCTCAGTGACAATTAAAGGAAGGTTTTTTTAGAGAGAACTACGCCAGACTCGGATACTTGTCGTTGATACTTCTCCCATGCCACCGGATCTACCTCCTCGTCGTCGGAATCTTCGTCTACTGGTGGACAAGGTGGTAGTGGTGGAGGAGAATTGACCCGAGGTTTGTCGAACCACAGCTTCGCCTCTTCCAACATCACATCGTACATGATTTCCGATCTCTCACACACTCAAAAAAAAAGAAACCACAGCTACGCCAGACGACGAAGACGACAACATATAGAGGGCTTTTTTTGTTTTTGTAATTCGAGAATGTTTTTTCCTTTTCACCCCCTTAACTTTAAAGTATTTCTGTTTACTCCTTTATTTTAGAATTGATGTCTTTTAGTGTTTTTTTTTTCTTTGTCAAAACGCTAAAACAAAAATTTGATAAGTGAAGACAAGATGAATATATCAAAAAAATTCTGCAAATTTCAAAAGATATGGAAATAGCAGAAAATCTAACATTACTCAAAAAGACTATTAGCAAAAACGAAATAGCAGAAAAGACTAATACATATACACGTAACCACAAATATTGCAACAAACTTCCAATCATATTAGCATTAGAGCATCATTAGTGGTAAAATACCAAATAGAATGTCTTTTAAATTATTTTGTTCTATGTTTTAATTGTTTTAAAAATAAAACATATGTTAAGTCAATAATGTCATAACAAACAAAAAAAGAGAAGCCATTCCAAGCCAAAAAGATAGAAACAGAGAAGGGCTTAAAACGTGGTGAAGTAAGCAATATTACTCATATTTCAACCAGAAGTGCATTAGATTCTTGAATTTCTTGCGATGTTGGCAAGCCAATCTTGCATTCCGGACTATTCTGTCGATGGCATTGGGGAAGAAGCGGTGTGTACCCGCCGGTTCCTTTCAAACCAAATTTTATAGATTGTTTGCTTGTACAGCTAGCTTCTGAAGAGTAGAAGGACAAGAAGAGCTCTGAAGATCAATCCAAGTGTGAAATAGAACCGACCTGTAACCAAGTCTTTTGATAACAGCCTTCCAAATATTTTCAGCAAAGGAGAACCTCAGGAGTAGGTTTCTCTGTTTTCAAGTTCATCCAACTAACTTAGTCAAGGAGAGGTTCTATTGATCGTCTTGGTTAGATCATTTCTTAGTTGATAAGAACAAATTAATATCTTAGACAAAGATAGTTCATTGGATGATGTTCAAATGGCTGATCATTTTCTCATTATTTTTCTGAATGCGCTTCGGTATAGTCTAATCTAACATGTCGTTGAAGAGGATCAAAGAATAAGTGGAAAGCTTATTATGTGCTTCATTAAAGCCTTGTGTCCATCTTACTGGGGATTACTATCTAATAGCATACAACTGGCCTTGAGGATTATATTAGTACTCATTTAATTGATCGAAAACTCATGAGCACGACAATATGAAACCATGTAGATGAAGGTTTACCGGCTGTTAAGTAAGATACTAAGATTTGTGTTCTTTAAGTTTAAGAACCTTACGTAGTGCGGATTGAATAAAGTCACCCCCCCCCTCCTAACTTATACGTAATTTACGAAATATTATGAATTATTTCTTCTTAGCTTATATTGTTAAAGTATGTATATTATCACTAGATATTTCTTGATTCTGAATGATATATAGTTGTGTTACAAAAAAAAAAAAAAAAAAAGAATGATATATAGTTGCAATGTTTGCTGTTATGTGTCCTCATAGCATGGTCCATTAAAAAGAAGGTCTGATATCAAATTTGGACCACAAATCTTTCTTTTAGAAATCGCGGACTGGGACACCTTCCTACAACATGTCCGTCTTTTCTAATCTTACGTACATAATGCGAAGTCTTTTTTTCTTTCTTTTTTCCCAGTCTAAATATATATATATTGATCAATCGTATCGGTAAGCTATATTAGGGTGTACATGGCTCACATCATGTCTCGAGAAAGAAAAAAAAAAAAGAAACATTCTTTTCGGATCATCATGATTTGATATGTTGGATTATGCTTCCCTTGGTTTTGTATTCCAGATTACCCAAACCAGCACATTTTAATTATATTTTCGTCTCCTGCATCCATTTGATATGATTCTTAATCAGGGTATAAACTTGCTTCCACAAGATATGGATTTACTCTAGTTACAATATAAAATACATTAGCAATGTGCATGTGTGTGTGTATATCAGGCAATTAAAATTCGACCATGTATGAACTATAAAAACGTTAAAATATAACTACAAAATAATTTGAGTATAAATATTATAAATGCAATATGTAAAGTTATTTGATTATCTTATATAAAATAATTTATTTAAACGAGTCTTGTTGAACACTATGTATCAATGAAAATAAAACTGACATTTAAACGTTTTTTTTTATATAATTTTATCTTCTAAATATCATCTCTATTCTCTGGTAACATCTTTTTTTACCAACTCTAAGACATCACATTTATTTTGATCAATATATTCTAATTTTTTACTAATAGCTAAATTTGAAAAATAGTACAATGTAACACAGTCTAAACATGTTTCAAATCATCTTCTGTAGAAGTGCTAGAGATTTTGAGGAAATTGCGAAGATTAATAAGATTTCCGAACTCTTACCCATCATTCTTTGACCAAATTTTGGGAATATATAAATCTCTCCATGCAGATGTACTACATATTTATATTCATATGACAAAAACCACAATGACAATAATGTTAAGAAAAGCAACGATAATAATACTATGAAGAATGAAACTTGGGTCCTACTCGAGGAAAACAAAAGATACACTCGATTATGACAACTCCACCAAAGACCACCCCACTACCAGTTCACCTTTATTTATTTCTTTATCAATTCAAAATCTTTTTGATTTTTTTTAACTAATATAATTATTCTCCTCCCTCGTTGTTCTTGACCTTTTTAATATAAAAAGGAAAGGAGGTACCTAGGGTTTCTCTCTCTGCATGGCCACTCTCGCTCTTCACATATCTTTTTGGGCACCACTGTAAACGTATGCAAAAAAGCTTACATGCTAAGAAAACTCTGTCCTTATCGTTTCTCCCTAAAATATATACATTTATTTTATATTATGTGAATCTAAGAAATATCCTTTCTCATGATCGATGAAATACTATAGTTTTCTTTCTGCCTAAGAATATATATAATACATCCACTTATAGGACTCGCATCGGACGGGGAGTGTGTTATCTACCAGGCTACCAACTTAGACTTCACTTGTCTTTTGTTTATTGATTGACAAGGAATATACAGAATACACATATATCATATACCTTTTTTTTTCCTTCAACAAATGCGGCAATGAAGTGATTTGATCAAATTGAATATATAGGGACTCCATATTCTTAGCTTCATAGACACATTCCGAAATCACTGCAAATTCATGTCATAATTAAATAATTTTTTTGAATGAAACCAAGTCATTTAGAGATATATTTAGATATTATAGTCTTTACAACAAATACAAGCAATCGGATAACCAATTTAATATGTTCGAATTTGGGGTTTGATATAAATAATACAATATTAATAGAGTATTCTAGAAATCTTAAAATAGGTTTTAAGCACGTAATATGATATTAATAGTTTAATGGTGTATGATAATAGTATATAGTATTAATAGTTTAATGGTGTATGATAGTACATCGTATAAGTGTCACACCACCCGGATTCGAACAACATATGTTGTTGGAAAAGAAGTTATTGTCACACATAAAATTGAAGTAAATTTCACAATATCATGTTGAACAATAATATCACAATATCATGTCCAAACAATAATATCACAATATCATGTTCAAACACTAAAATGTATCTAACTTATTAAGATTCTACTTGCTTAAGCCGCGTGCCAAACTATAATTTTGTGTGATGTGTGAAAAAATTCATATCTGATCATATAACATTTGATATAACCAAGAAACAATGACGCACATACACTTGGAAAGATAAGCACATGTAAATGTTTAAATCGACACTTAATTCCAAAAAGTTTAACAATAAATTAGAAGGTGTTAATGAAAACAAAAAGAAACAAAGACCGTAAGAGAATGATGGAAATTAAAAGGAACAAAAAAAAAAGAAAAAATGCAAAATAAATTAAATAAGGAAACTTCATCTCTTCTTTTTATCTCTCAATCAGCTCCTCCCTTCTCTCTCTGTCTTTCTCTTAACCCTCTCTCTAGATCAACTCTCTCAAGTGATGTGATTTTCCACCATATCTACAAAGTCTTACCTTAGAAGAAAGCTTTTAGAGCTAAATTCAGAGATGGTTTTCTCTTCTCTTCCAGTGAATCAGTTCGATTCACACAACTGGCAGCAGGTAATCCATCAATATAGTATACTATATGTTCTTGATCCGTTCTATATTGCTCCAAGTTCGATCATCTAAATAACAATGAGGTTTTGTTTGCCTCTTCTTCTTTGTGGACGCCTGTATATCCTTATAGATATTCCTTAGTTTTCCTATTTTCTCGAATATACCATGAAATATAAAATGATGCTTTATTTGGCTATTTTCCAGTTAAAACTCGATCATAAGAGCATGATTAACCCAGGGTTCTTAGGGTGAGATTTTTAACGGAAATTAAGAAAGTGTTTCTTATCTTTTACTAAAAAAAAACTAAGAACCAGTTCTTAAATAAGAATTTTAAGAATCGATTAAGTCTTAAATAAGAACTTTAAAAATCGGTTCTTAATTTTTTTTAACTTCCGCTAAGAACCCTACCCTAAAAATCTCGGGTTAATTATGGTCTAAGGATGTTTTTTAATCTCTGCTTGATATTTACCTTCTTCTTTTTCAACCACTGGATTAAACCAAAAATAAAATATAAAAGTTACTACTACTTTAATTTGAGTTTCTGTAGCTCTGATGAAAAGCTGTTATAAATGGGCACATGTTATCAAAGTAGAATAATTTGCTCTATATATGCTTTAGTCCTCGATCGATGTTTCAATTGTTTCTTCAAAAAAAAAAACGTTTCTGCTTCATTACCTTCCTAAAAATTAAGTATTATGTTAATATGCAGCAAGGAAACGCACAACAGCTAGACCGTGTCACATCTGACCAAAACCCTAGTTTCAACTTACCACAGTTCTCATCACCACCAGCTTCTCAGGCTGGCTCGAGCCAAGCCAGGGTGAATTCAATGGTGGAACGCGCTCGGATGGCGAAAATCCCATTGCCTGAAGCAGCTCTAAAGTGCCCTAGGTGTGAATCCACCAATACTAAGTTCTGTTACTTCAATAACTACAACCTTACTCAGCCTCGCCATTTCTGCAAGACATGTCGCCGTTACTGGACACGTGGCGGTGCACTGAGGAATGTTCCTGTCGGAGGAGGCTATAGGAGGAACAAGAGAAGCAAACCCAACAGCGGTGGTAGATCGAAATCTACGGTCGTGGTTTCGGCTGATAACAATAATACTACTTCATCGCTTTCTTGTCTCGCAAGCTACTCAAACCCTAGCAAGTTTCTTAGCTACGGCCAAATGCCAGGGTTTAATTCAAACTTGCCGGCGTTGCCTGCTTTCCAAAGCCTTGGAGATTACAATACAAGTAACACTGGATTGGATTGGAGTTCTAGTGGTGGGATCTTGGATCCATGGAGAGTATCTTCACTGCAACAGGCTCAGCAACTCCCTTTCTTGGTCAACACGAAAGGGCTGGAGCAATCTTCAAATTTGATGGATCCATCTCTAGAAGGGAATGAAGGAGTTAGCGATGCTAATCTTCAACAGGAGAGTAGTGGTTATCCCAATCAGATAAGGTCTAAACCCCTGATGGATATGGCTTCAAGTGGAGATCAGGCCGCACAAATGAGAAATGTGAAGGCTGAAGAGAATGATCATGGTCTGGATAGGGACGGGAACGGAGTGAATAACTTATCTAGAAACTTTTTGGGGAATATTAACATAAAACCAGTGGAGAATGATGGATACACATCATGGGGAGGTAATAGCAACATTAGTACTTGGACCGGTTTCACTTCCAACAACTCAATAGGCCATCTCTCCTTCTAAGTACGCAGCATTGATGATTATTTTGTTGGTTGGGTTGTACATGGATCTCTTTTCATGGGGGCTACATATTACTGAGGAGAAATCAAACCATGGATGATGGAGCTATATATATGACCCAAAGGCTAATTTTGGGGATCAAGGGGAAGGTATGGTTATAGAATTATGTTTTCGGTCTTTTAGAAGATATTTAAAGTGTGAGAATGTCTTATCAAAATTGGTGTTATTGGCTATATAAATAGAAGTGTGGGTTCTGTTCGAATTAAGGAGTTGTAATGGGAACTTTTTTTGGTGTGTGTTATTGAATAATCAATCGAATTCTCAATTTCTTGTAAACCATTAACGAGATGTATAGAGAGCATGTAGTATATGTCAAACGTAATTAAGTTGAATTACATGACCAAATATAAACTATTATGTCGAATATAGATATGCTAAGAGAAGATTATTTCAATAATACCTATGAGAATGTGATATACTTCTTTGGTCCAACTTTTATTCTGGTTATCTTTATTTTCTTAAAGATTTATCGTTTTTTTTTTCTTATCAGAAACAAACCTGATTTAAAACCATATGTATCCATTTCTATTTAATTGAAAAATGTGTAACAGAAGCTAGCTAGATGAATCATTTATCTTCTGAAGTAGGGTTTATTTGGTTGCTAATTTGCTATATAGGTGTGACGACGATTAATAAATAAAAATGTGAACTAATGAGTAAATCAGGTATTCCATCTGCGCTTCATTTCCAAAACTCTTATAGCACTAATGAGTGTCAAACCTGATCAGTCTATGAGTATGTTTTTTTTGGTATTGTAGAGATGTCATTTATGTGGTGTATATATCATTTTCAGTGACGGCTTTATCTAACCTCTTACAATTATATATGTTTGTCTTATCAGCTGTCAAACAATATATCTTTCTTATAATCATATGCGATTCATAACTTTAGTTAATTATGTCAAGCATGAAGCCTCACGTATGGAATAAAAAGAGGATGATGATTTTAAACGCAACTCGATGATATGACGACGAAGAAAAAAAGAAGTGTTATAGATCATGTAAACAGAACAAAAAACATAGAAGAAAAAAAAAAGCAATACAACGAGCTAGAAAACAATGCGAACATAAGACCATCACGTAGATCTATATGTATGGATCAATAGCACGACATATATAGAGGTACGTACATCCATGTACACACTTATACAACATATTATTAGAGAAAGAAAGAGAGATATTATCATATTTCAGTTTTATTTTCACTATTTTCCCCGATCCTCTCTTCTTCATCTTACCGAAACTGCTATCCAGTTCGACAAAAACAAAAAAAGCAATGCTGTAGTCGCTGAATCTGAGGCAAGTTAAAAGATTTTCTTAATACATTTTTTATAAACCCTTTTTATATATAATGTGACTTTTATAATAAAGACCATTTTTCCGTGATATGAAAAACAAGGAAGCCAAGTTCAAAACGAGAAATTCAAAGGAGACAGTGTGGAACTGGCCGAACCAAATAGTAAAACAAATGTTTGGTGTTATTTTCGCAGTTCCACGTTCACTTGTTTTAGTTAACTAAAGTAACCTTGATTGAAATTAGTGGTAACATAATGAGTGGCATCTCCAAGGGATTATGGAATCTGGGCCTTTTGGATCTGCTTTTGCAATGACCAATGTTTCTTTGCCAAAATCTTGTCTCTCTTTCACATCCATTTGCATTAGACTTGAAGAAAGAAAAAAGCATACACTCATTCCAATATGTATGCAAGATGAGATAAATAATAAAGTACAAAAATAGCAAATGCGTCAAAAGAGGACAATAAAGGGAAAAAGAGAAGCATATGTTCAAGTTCTGTTCTCCATACCAATACAGCTTTAGGTCCAAAGGACATCTTCCAAGTTAAATTTTAAATTATTTCTTTTTAATAAAAACACTTTATATTATGTCTTCTTCTTCATCTGTAAAATTGAATGTACGTTTTCATATTATTGTAATTGTCCATCGGAACCGCCCACGTTCTTCCACATGCCCTCAAATCATTTTCTCACTCTCCTTTTTCCACAGGTTAACTGAACATTTCGAGAGAGCTATCAGCCAAATAAACAATCCTTAGAGGAAATTGTACATACCAGTCATCAATGAGTTCCGATTCTTAACACTCAGAAGATCTAATCTTACTATTACTATGTGTCTGCACCATGTACATCAATACTATTTTTAAATTTAAATTATATTTAAAATAAATTTTGTTATTTATATCAATGTTTTAATATAATTTTCTAGTTAAACATAAAAATTAAGATAAAATAAAAAATTATTTTTATTTTAAATTATATTTTAGAATAATATATATATATATATTTAAAATTATAATCTTAGATAAATTTTCATTTGTTTCTTTGAGTTGAGATACATTAAATCAACTTGTATGAAATTAAAAAAGATATAAATTGTATAATATCAAAATAAAACTAATCAGAATTTCTTAAATTTGTAGATACCAAAAGAAAGTAAATGGTATTGATTAAAATTTTATATTTTTAATAAAATTTGTATAACTTTTTGAATTTTTTTCTTAGTAGTAAAAATTGTTGGATTATATAAATACACTAAAATAATATTTCAAAATTGGTAAAAGATTTTATATTTAATTAATGTTATATTTATATATATTTATTTTAATTATGAGTTATTACTATATTTCAAAAAGTTATCAAAAATAGAAACGAATTAAATGTAATTGTCTATGTCACATTTTACTCTAAGTCATATGTTTTTTTTACAATGTCATGTCATATTTTTAGTGAAAAATAATTATAGTGATGACATATGGTAAATTATTTCTCAGATAATATCTAGGAGATATATTATTGTATTCAATTTCATAAAAAAATATATTAGCATGCATGACATGATGTGGCGTCATTTATCAGATTATCTATACTCTCATGTATGTGTCTTTCTACATGATCAAGTATAGTAATCAAGTATAGTAAGTTAGTAACATTGTTTGAACGATGTATTCCTCTAGTGTTATCATCGTTTTGAATAATCAACCTTGCCAAACTATGCAAACACCTCCAAAAAACATGATGCTAACTCCTAAGTATCATATTTTGTTCATTTGATCAAGATGGGTACGAGCTCTACTATAGAAATACATACAATGAATGTTTTCCCATGGTTGTTATAGGAAATTTGAAAAGTTAAAAATGTTTTTATTTTCGAAAAAAGATTCACGAAACATCGTTTATTGCTAAACGTGCCTATGAAGAAGAAGCTACATGGTTTGATACATTTTCAGGCACGAATGAACGTATGGGTGATGTTCAAACGGAACAGGTAGGATAGAAAAAAATCCCAAGTGGATTCATCAAATGTAATGTTGGATCTTCATGGATAAATTCGAACCACCTTACTAGTGTGTCATGGATTCTACGTGATGAACATGAGTCTACAATCATGCACAGTCGCCGAATCTATTCGTGTATGCGCATAAAAGCAGAGGCAGAATTATGGGCTCTTTATTGGACGGTGGAGTGTATTCATAATCTACATTTCTCAAATATCATTTTTGAAACCACGTCCAAGTGTTTGCAGGACATTATCACAAAGACAGATGAACACCAAATCTTTAGCCATATGCGTCACGGCATCTTTTTCCTCCTTACTAGGATAGGTACATGGAGCTTGGAACACGTTCTTTCCGATCGCAATGAAGCTGCTGCGGCAATTGCTGTAAGTGTTACTCGCGACTTCCGTCACCAGTCGTACGTTGTCCGAAACACTTCGGTATGGCTCCATCATCTACTTTCTTTGGAGGTTCAACTTTAGAAGAATTTGGTGAGATCCATTCCATGTTTTAGTGTCTATTGACATTTCTTCCATCTTTTTTGTATTTTCTTGTATCTCCTTGCTCTCTTAACTATTCCCAGTGTTATAAAAGAAAAACTCCTAAGCTATTTACATATACAAGACAATTGTGAAGTTGGATACTCATACTATGTGCCTCATGTGGATCAAAATAAAATCAAAAATAATTTGTTCAGTATTAATTTACTGTGATCATAATGCTAAAATCTAATATTTTCATGTTTCGAGCTAATAGTTCTGTTCTTCGACATGTATCTATTTGTTTCTCAATAAAATCTTCCTAGTTATTCAAACAAATGCTTCTTTAAATCACTAAAGCACAGTATGTTTTTTCTTTAAGATAAAAAATACAGTAGGTTGCAAAGCATATTTGTATGCAATAATATGGAAGAAAGAAAACGATATAACCAATCAATAAGCATTATTATCCGCACTCAACTAGACTTTTGATCAAAGAAGAAATTTAATGCCTATCGACAAATGAAAATCCATCTATGGTCTCTCGAGAATTTCAGCCAACACTCTCTCGCACAAACCACGTCAGATCATCATTTAACCGATATATTTGAAACTTGTGCTTCTTTTGACAATTGAAATCTTTCTACATAAATTTATGTCTGTATATATATTTTTTTGAACAAAAAATAATATATCTATATATTATTATTTTTTTGAACAAAAAATTATATATATATATATAATTTTGAAAAAAATGATGATATGATTAATAAATAATTTTTTATCAGTTTTCTAAAAACCACATTTATCATACAAAAGTTAAATTTTATAAACCGAAAACAGAACGTTACAATAAAATCCGAGCGTTACAACAAAAAAACAATATAAATTTTAATATAGCTTAAAAAGTTAATGATAAAAATTGTAAATATAACTGTGCATCTCTAGTAATTTCCTCATTTTAATCTCTTCCATTAAAAAGATTTTCCATTCACTACAATATTCCATTAAACTTTAAAAATAAGAAAAATAATAATTTTCTGGAAATTCTCTAGAAATAAAAAAAATTATTCTTGGAAATATATAAATAGGGACTGCCCTAGACGTCGTCTAGCATCAAACAAAAATCCTTGGCTCTCCTCTCCCCCCCGAATCTAGAGTTTTCTCTCTTTGCGATGGCGAATAATAATACTAATACTCAAGCAAGCCTTCTTCTCCAGAAACAGCTCAAAGGTTCTTTCTTGAATTCAATCCTTCTTTAGGGTTTTCCAATTCAATTCAATTGTTTGATTGAGGTGAATTTCGATTCCGGTTTAACCTAACTATTGTTTGCAGATCTGTGCAAGAAACCGGTTGATGGTTTCTCTGCTGGTCTCGTTGACGAGAGTAACGTTTTTCAATGGAGCGTCTCCATCATGGGTCCTCCTGATACCTTGTAGTAAGTCTTTGATTCTTGAATTTGGATTTTGTCTCTTCAGATTGTGTGTTGATTTGGTTGTAGTTTTATTGATACCAATTTTTTAATGTTGATTGGTTCTATTGTGACATGAATCTTTTGTTTTGTATTTGATTTGTTGATTCATTACATTGTTTGGTTCTGTTGTGTTATATCTGTTTGTTTACGCTTATGTTATGTTTGGTTAGAGGTTTAAGTATATCTCATGTGAGTTTTAGATTTTCTTAAGCTGTTTTTGATGATTTTTTTTTTTTTTTTGGGGCATTGAAACTTTTTGTTATTTTTGTTGTAGTGAAGGGGGATTCTTTAATGCAATAATGACATTTCCAAATGAATATCCTCAGCTCCCACCAACTGTGACGTTCACTTCTGAGATGTGGCATCCTAATGGTGAGTGTGCTTATTCTGACTAATAACTCTCTCTGTACTTCCTTCTTGATGGTTTTATGTACATTTTGGAACTGCAGTTTATTCTGATGGGAAAGTTTGCATATCGATTCTTCATCCGCCTGGTGAGGATCCTAATGGATACGAGCTTGCCTCTGAACGTTGGACCGCTATCCATACGGTAATCCCTTCTTTTTCTCACCAATTTAGTAGCTTTGGTGATATGCTTCAGGGTTTAGTTAATTTTTAGGGGTTTGAGTTTATATATAACTTGGCATTCTTTGAAATACAATAGATTGCCCTTGGCCACAGAAAGATACTCTGTTTCGTTTGATTTCTTTTAGCTTATACAACTCTGCATTTGTGCCACTTTCTTTTCATGTATATGTGGAATTTGAGTTGCTCAAAAAAAAAAGAAGTATGGAATTTGAAAGTTGGGATTACTATGCTGAATGGGTGCGGGTTAGATATTAATATCGTAAAGAGTGCTTGTGTTTGAATATGAACTATTTTTTTTGATGTCTACGTTCTGGACCTTAAATCCATAGTGTTTTGAGCTCTCTTTATATTAGATCATATGTTTGAGAGAGCTAATGGGTTTTGTTGTGTATGATGCACAGGTAGAAAGCATTGTGTTGAGTATCATATCTATGCTCTCGAGTCCTAACGACGAGTCACCTGCTAACGTGGAAGCTGCAAAAGAGTGGAGAGACAACAGAGCAGAGTTTAGGAAGAAAGTGAGTCGCTGTGTTAGAAAATCGCAAGAGATGCTATGAGCATCACTTCTTTGCGTTTTTTATGTGTTGTAGAAATTTCGATCCTAAGCTAAGAGAGAGAACGTAAGAAGAAGCATCATCAATCATCAAGAAGCAGCCAGATGAATCTGTATGCTCAAAAGCTTGTTTTCTTTTTCTTTTGTGGTTTTGGTTCTGGAGTTGTCTTTAAGGTTTGGAATATTGTGGTGGAATCAAATCTAATCCACCTTTTAGGATTATAATCTTACTCTCGTTAATGGATTCGTTTTCACATTCCTTTTTTAAAAATTTCTGATATTAAAATTCTCGACTATAGTATGTGTACATTCTTGGTCTTGTTGATCCTTAATTTTCATGTTAAGGAGCATAGACTTGAGTGTTTGGGTTATATAATGGTTTTGTCTTTTCGAGCGGAGGAGTTTTGGACGTTTATAGGTAGTACTATAAGATTCGGTTTGGTACATAAATTTAGAAACTAACCCAAAAAAGTATCTGAATTTTTAAATGACTATATGTGAACTTTAAATATTGCGTGAAAAAATATTCGGAAATGGTTGACAAAATATTCGGATATCTGTGAAAAAAAATATAAAATATATATTTTCGAAATACAAATTAAATCCACAATACTATAATATATTTGAAATACTGAAAGTACACCAAAAATCTAAAATGATAAATTTTTGTATGGTATCCAAATTTTTTGGACACTAAAACAGATCGAGTATTGGACAATGGATACTAATCCAAAAAACAAACCGATATCAACATGTAATAGTGCGCTTATACCTGAAATCAAACCAAATCAGATTGTTTCAAGTCAGTTCCGGTTCAGTTTTCCGGTCCTTCATGATGGCTCGAACGTCATTTTCAGACTTTCTTTAAACGACTCCGGCATTAAATACTCAACAACAGTTTCTAATACAAAACATTTTACAAAGAGACAAGAAGGTTTGGTGAATTTATTACCTTTGTGTACCTAATCCATTTAATGACACAAATCTTGCACTCTTCTCCTTAATGGTTCGTCAGAAACGTCTACTATCATGTGAAAACCGGTGCTTTTAATTTCATATAACCTTTCCAAAATGCAGTCTCTGACCGCTAACATTACCAAAAATGCTCATTTTACATTTAATGGTTTGGGACCGTTACAACTAGCCCTGCGATTTTGGTTTTCCAGAACCAAACCGAACCAATTTTTCAGTTAATTGAAGTTTTGAAAATTGATTATGAAATTAACCGAATTACATTTTGACTTGATTTGGTTATCGGTTAATTTTGGTTTCCAAATTCAAAAACCAAAATTAACAAAAAGTTGTTTCCAAAAAAATTGAAAATTCGGTTTAAATAGGTTAAAATCAGATCTTATTTTGTTACATTAGTTAAATTAAATTGTTTACTCGTTAACATCAGTCCAATTTTGATATAATCCAATTTAGTACATATAGAATATTAAAGAAAAAGATCGGTTAAATCAAACCAAACCAAATGGTAACCAAATCTTTCCGAATCGAACGGAAAGTGAAATAAAATCTGAAAGTTTTGGTTCGATTCAGTTCGGAACCGCATGACTAATTAGAGCAATCTTATTGATAAGTTTCTCATTTTAAAGTCTTAAGAATTTTTTATTGTTATTTTAATTTGATAAAGATAATTGATTAATTATAGTTGTCTTAGCTATATATTTATAAATAAACCTTATTGATAAGTTTCTCATTTTAAAGTTCTTTAAAAACTTATTATTATTTTAATTTGATAAAGATAATTGATTAATTATAATTGTCTCAGATAAACAGAGTCCAATCATAATTTGCCAAGTGCCCAAAAAAGTTCTAATAAAGTTTTGAAAACATCTAATCTAAGAATTTTATCTTAATATTTTTCTCTAATTTCTCAATTTTTTTCTTTGATTTTAATTATTAGATACTTGTTTAAAATTTCCAATGGAGGTGCTTTTACAACGTGCAACAAACCGCTATGGCCATTGCAAAAAAAAAGAAAAAAAAACGAACCGCGAATATAATAAACCAGACAAAATCAAGAAAGCGACATTGTAACCAACCGGTTAATAAGCTCTGTCTCTTTTCTTTTGCATCACTTTCCCTCTCATTCTTCTTCTCCTTCCTTATCTCTCTCTCTTTCTCCTTAATGACTCGTGACTCCTAAGTTCCTAACTAAAACTACTTCTCATGACTCTTCTTGTCTCTCTTCTTCCTCTTCAACACAGTTAAGCCTCTCCTCTGAATCCTCTCCTCCGCCATGCGCTCGCCGCATGACTTCCGCAACGGAGAATCTCCGACATACCGAGACCGTACTCACTTCCACTCCACCGTGGCAGCTCAGAAGCTCCGTCGCTTCAACTCCCTGATCCTCCTCCTCCGCTTAGCCTCTTTCTCCTTCTCCCTCGCCTCCGCCGTCTTCATGCTCACCAATTCCCGCGGCTCCGGTTCGCCTCACTGGTACGATTTCGACGCTTTCAGGTTCGGTTTCTTCTCTCTTCTTCAAAAATTAAGAATCAAACCTTTTTGGAATTTGATAACTGAGTGAGGACAGAATCTGCGTGTGAGTTGCTGCAGATTCGCGTTCGTGGCAAACGCAATCGTGGCTTTATATTCCGTGTTTGAAATGGGCGTTTGCGTTTGGGAGTTTTCCAGAGAAACAACGTTGTGGCCTGAAGCGTTTCAAGTCTGGTTCGACTTTGGTCATGACCAGGTGATTGTTTAATTTAATTAAATAAAGATCAATTCTTTAAGCTTAGATTTGCTTAATAATCATTAAAGGCAAATATACTGTCTCAATGATTGCTTAATTATTTTAATTTAACTCCGATATTTTAATTAAACCCCAATTAATTAATTAAAGAGACAAGACATGAGTTTGAAAGTGTACTTATTTTCTGGATGTATCGGCAGGTGTTCTCTTACCTGTTGCTGTCGGCAGGATCAGCAGCAGCAGCATTAGCTAGAACGATGAGGGGAGGTGACACGTGTACGGCCAACAAAGCCTTCTGTTTGCAGTCAGATGTAGCCATTGGTTTAGGCTTTGCTGCTTTTCTATTCCTAGCCTTCTCTTCTTGCTTCTCTGGTTTTAGAGTTGCTTGTTTCCTCATTACAGGCTCTCGTTTTCACCTCTAGTAGTAGAGTGATTCTTAATGATATTTGGATATGGAGTTGCTGTGTTAGAACTTTACACTATATCTTACACTATATAAGATAACAAATTTGCTGAATCAGAACTATGAAATTTTAGTTTAGAGTGGATGAAGCTGATGAAACTTTGAATTGAATTGAATCATGAGTATATAAGATTGAAGATAATCAGTTCATCAAGATTTTGTGGAAGTGACTAAGCTTCTGCTAGAGTCTGAGGTTGTTGCTCTACTTTGACCTTAGCTTTACTCTTTTTCTTACTATCGTTTGGCTTCTTCTCCTCTTTATCTGTCTCTGCATCCATCTCGATCCTTACAAAAACAGGACTCGCTTGTTCCATTACTTGACCTGCCTTTAGCTCTCCCCACTTTGTATCATTCTAAAGACACAAAAACCATTACAATCAAACCCATGAAGTTTTTTTTTTAGTTTAAATCAGATGATAGGAGATTGTTTGTTACCCATGTTATGCTATTGAACTGATCAACTGAGAATCCAAGCTGTGAATATATCTTCAGGCTTAAGCATGGTGCAATGGGGGATAACGCAACCGCTATGATTCTCATTACTTCCAATATAACCACCAGATCCTGTAATCATAAACTAGTCACTAACTTGATCACCTAACCAATAACAAATCCTTGTGTTATTCTTTTGTTATGACCTTGGCTGCAGCTTCTGCTGAGTCACCACCTTGTTTGAAAAGCATCCAAGGTGCTCTTTGATCCATGTACGAGTTTCCAGCGTTACCAATCTCTAACACAGCCTCACACGCCGTTGATAGTGAAAGATTCTCATAGTTTGTCCGTGCCTTTTCAACCTATTATTAGATAAAACGGTACACTATGAGAGATGAAAGATTAAAGTGCGGTTACTTAAAGATTCCTCTCTAAGCAATTACAGTACTTAGAGAGGAATGAACATTTACCAGCTTCTCCACTGTGTCTTTCAAAGGAACTCCTTCGGCTGCAATAGTAGAGTCTACTACTAGAGTGGACTCACAGTTCTTCTTAAGAAGGCCAAGAGTACGGTTAAGGAGATTTCCTGAAGAGAAATGGAATAACATTTTTTAGAAACCAAAAGGCTAAACTAGACTCAAAGAGTTTCGATTTAGTAGAGTTGAAAGAAACCTATCGTGTTAGCGAGATGTGCATTGACAATTTTTATAAAACGGTCTTCTGAGTAGTCCCCATCGTTTCCAAATTCTACTTCCCGGATGAAGAAGTACCTAACAGCATCTGGTCCAAACTTCTGGACCAGCTCAAAAGGTTCTAGAGTATTCCCTAATGACTTGCCCATCTTCATTCCATCCTATGATTTGACAAACCATAGAACGCAATGATATCAGAAAAAGACAAAAGAAGTTGGCAAGAACAAGAACTCTATGCAGAGTTTTTTTTTGGATTAAGTACCTTTGTGAGAAATCCATGGCCAAACACCATCTTTGGAAGACTCAGACCAGCAGACATTAGCATAGCAGGCCAGTAGACAGCGTGAAATCGTAGTATATCCTGAAGAATATGGTATGTGGAGAAGGATTTCATTTCATTTTAGTGAACCCAAAAATAAAACAAACCAAGAATGTTACTGTTTCCAGAAAATCTCCAAGAACTCCAGAAAATATTCTGTTATAGGTGAATCCTAATATCACTAGAGTTGATAATGAGCATAAGCTGTACCTTTCCGATCAAATGCAATGAAGCAGGCCAGCCTAGTGAAACAGCAGCGTCTAGATTTTGTTGCTTGTTGTCCTCTGTTAGAGCTGATATGTAACTGCAATGAAAGATGAAAGATATGAGATTAGAGTTTAATATCATATTTAATACAAAAGCCTGTTCGTGGATGCTAAGTAAACTAGGTAAACAGTCTGTCTTACCCCAGTAGAGCATCAAACCAAACATATATGGTTTGCTTATCGTCACTAGGAACAGGAATTCCCCATTCCACTAATGCTCGAGAAATAGAAAAATCCCTTAAGCCACTCTTTACCCAAGTTTGCACCTATTAGAAAAAATGATTAAAACGGAATGAGCTAGAGACTACTCCTAAGAGCAAATCCTTGAGCTATCCTGCACTATGTGTATCACCAAAGGTCCACAAGCACTACCTGAAAGAGAACTCAAAGACTGTGTTCTCACCTCGTTTAGACGGTACGAAGGCTGCACAAAACGAGGATTCTGAGACAAAACATCTTCAAGAGGTTTCTGATATTTGGATAGAGCAAAGAAGT